CGGCAACCAAGCCCAGGCGTGGTGGCACAAGCTTGTCATCCCAGCACTGGGGAGGCTGAAACGGGAGGATCACTACGAGTCTGAGATGTGCAGTGAGACCCTGTACCAAATACAGTAATGAAAATAAAAAAGTATGAAAATATTTTCAAACATATGATAAGGAACTTGTATACAAAAATATACAAAGAATTTTAAAAACTCAACAGTAAGGAAACCAACAAGGAAGCTGAAAAATGGGTCAAAGAACTGGACAGACATTTCACCAAGAAGACCCCCAGAGGGCAAGTATGCATGTGAAGGGACATGCAATGTCATTTGTCATTAGGAAAATGCAAATCAAAACAAAAACGAAGTACTACTACACATCACGAATTGCCTGGTATACAACACAAAAATGCCTGGTATACAACACAGAAAGCACCGACATGGGTGAAGTGGTACAGTTACCACAGAAGCCAGCCTGGCCATTTCTAATAAAACTAAACATAGCCTTTCCATATGATCCTCAATCACACTCCCAGGCATTTACCCACTTGAGTTGAAAATGTATGACTATAAATAGATCCACACAAATGGATCCGTCTACATAGAAACATTTATAGCAACTTTATTTATAATTGCTGAAAACTGCAAGCAACCAAGATTTCCTTTAGCTGCTAAATGGAAGCAAACAGTGACATAGCCACACAACTAAATACTACTTAGCAATATAAAGCAGCTATCGAACCAAGAAAAGACATGGAGAAACCTTAAATTCCTCTTATTAAGGGTGAGAAGCCAGCCTAAAAAGGCTGTACACTGCTTCAGTGCTATACGGAACATTCTGGAAAATCAAAGTGTGGGACAAACCGTAGTTGCCAGGAGTTTGGACATGGAGGAAGAGATGAAGGAGGAGGCCAGGAGAAACTGAGGGGGCGAAGAGAGTCTGTTTGCTACCGTGATGGCGGATAGATGGCACTGAGCATTTGCCTAGACCCAGAGAACTCCGCAGCACCAAGAGTGAGCTCTACTGTAAACTATGGACTTTAGTGATAATGCATCAGTAGAGGTTCATTAATTGTTACGAATGTACCATACTCAGGCAAAATGTTAATTAAAGAAGGATATAGGAGAACTCTCTGCATTCTTAGCTCTTAGCTCAGTTTTCTGTAAAGTGGAAATGTCTAAAAAAATAGTCTACTAATTAATTAAATAATTAAACAAAGCTGAAAGAGAAAAACATAAAATGCCAGTTATTGTTATTATAACACTATTTAATCCTATGAAGTGACCAAGACTCATTTCTATAAGCCTCCAACCATCTCTGGCTCGCCCAGCCCCAACCTGCTTGCCAGAGAAAGGCTGCTCTCTGTGGGGAATTCAGCTCAGCACCGAGGCTGTCCTCGGCCAGCATAGGGGGTTGTGGAGGAGACAAGGAGGGACAGCAACTTTTGGAGGTCCTGAGGCATCTGGAGACACTGGGAGGACTCTGCCCACTGAGGTGCGACTGTCAGCGAGCTCTGAGTGCAGAGGCATGTCGGGCCCTTCCTGCCTTATGCCCTGGTCTCCCCACTACCCCTGCAGAAGGACACATTTCTCTGCTGGGACAGTTACCGTGCTGTCCACCTGCCTGCACCCAGGCATGACACATTGCGCACCATCTTGATGTTACACAGCCCAGTGGTCCTTGCTGCACCTCCCTGGCCCAATGTCTCTCTAAACCTATTTTTAAAAAATTCTACCTTATTGCTTTTCAGTTAACTGAATTTTTATTGACTCTTTACTTCAGCAACTTTCCATTTCGGCAACAAAGAACAATTTTCTAGTTTATCAGAAATCTAAGACATGTGTTGCTGTGGCTGATGGCATAACCTACTACTCAAGCACAGGGTCAGCTGTCTGGCAGTGTACAGAGCAATTACAAATTGTGAATTATTCAAGACTCATGTGAACCTTCCTTGAGCCATTTCAGTACTCTCACAGTGTAGTGAATTGCTCTTCCTCTAATTCATGTACTTTAATGGTTCTATGATTTATAGACCATCATCTCTCAGAAAATTGAGGTCAGGACTGGGGATGCAGCTTAGTGGTAGAGCACTTGCTAGTGTGTGGAAGTTCCTACTTTCAATCTCTAGCACCACAAGAAAATGAAAAAAAAGTTGAAGTCTCTCCTATCTTTGTCTTTGAAACTATGCTTATAGCTTGTGTGATTATATAGTAAAATAACCTTATAATTAAGGTTGCTGTTACCTCTGTTAGGGATAGGAAATCTATCTAGTTAATAGACTAAAAAATGAAGAAAGAAAGGATAGTGAGGTGGTAGAAAAAAGGGAACTCATACAGTGCTGGTAAGAAAAGTGAACTAAGTTAATCAGGATGGAGGACAGAAGTTCTTCAAAAACTACAATTAGAACTACAGTATGCCCCAGGAATCCTCCTTTGAGGTACGTACCGAGGAATTTAAATCCACAGGTGGAAGACACTACCTACATCCCCTTGTCTGTAGGAGCACAGTTCATAAGAGCTAAGACATGGAATCAACTTGGGGGTCCATCAACAGCTCAAAGGGTAAAACTTGGGGTATATATGCACCACACAATAGAAGTCACCCATAAAAGGGGGGGTCCTATCATGCAGAGAACAGATAGAAATGGAAGACATTATATTACATACAATGAGTCAGACAGAAAAAGAACCCCAATAGTGTGCATTCCTTCTCATCCACAGAGACTAACAAGTCAGGCTGACAGTAGGACAGCAATTAGGGTGGTAGGAGAGGGTGGAGGGTGTAGGAACAGAGCCAGGCTGTACACAGGGACCCAGGATGCGGATGGGGGCAATGAGCTCCTTATCCTACAGCTCGACGGGGTGACTAATTCCCAATGTTTATTATGTACTCAATGAATAATGAGAAGAAAAGAGCTTAAAGGCTCTAACTATCCAATAATAATAAAGGGTTGGAAGTATTAACTACCTTGATTTTATCAGCTTACATTAGGTACATGTATTGAAATAGCAAACTGTACGCTATAAATGTTCATGATTGCTGTGTTGAGGGAAAGAAAGCTCCTGTCTGAGAGATGGACAGGAGGGGGGCCCGAGCGGGTTGTTCCCCCTATGATTGCTGTGTTAATCAAAATTTCTTTTTAAACACTGAAGAAGACAAAAACACTAAACATCCTGATCCCAAACTATACACTGTATGAATTATTATATCTACTGAATTATCTCACTGTACCCCACAAATATGTACAGCTAAAGTAGTAATTTAAACATTTTGTGAAAGACTCTTGAAGTCATATTCCTGCTAATCGATTTGATTTGTCCCTTCTGCCTCACCCTCCTAAGGGCCCCTTTCTCTGGGGAAGGAGGCAGCCCTGCAATTGCGGATTAGCATGGGGTGGGGGCGGGGGCGGGGGTGGGGAACGCTGTCTACTGACCTCCTTCCAGCACAGATTCATGACCTGGTAGACGTGAGCTGAGGCCAGTCGGGGCTTATACAGCCGGAACCCAGTGCTGATGTCCTCCACCACCTCTGAGTTGCTGCGGTTCTCATATGGGATTTTGCCTTCGCTGAAGACTTCCCACATCAGCACTCCTGCAGGCAATGGTGAGCAAAAGACAGCTGACAACAGTGTCCCGGGGTGACCAATAAGCCCACCTCCCTCTAGACACCACAGGCTCTCTGGGTAGAAATCCAGGCCCCTGCTCCAGACCAACGCAAGCACTGCATCAAGCACAGCGGAGGCTTCTGGAGGCCTGCCCTATTTCTGTTCTGCTCCTTTCTTTTTCTTTTTTGTTTTGTAAAAATTTTAAGGAGCTCAAAATTTCCCAACCTTCTCAGGAGTAAAGCTTTCAGGGCCAGCCCTTTGTGACATTTAACTAGAAGGCCACAACTAACGGTCTCAGGAGAGGAAAACTCAGATGTGTACACACAATGTAAATGAATGGAATGGGTGGCATTTGACACAGTGGAACCAGATGAGGACTGTGGAGGATCAGGGATCAAAACTTGTGCCTTAAGGGCTTGGACTTGGCTGCCGCTGGAGTACAGCACATAGAAGTGGGGCTCAAGGCTGTCCTACTTTCTGATTTTTCTGAAAAAAGAAGTCAGATATTGACAATTAAAAATGGGAATGTGGCACAGCAAGATCCTGTATCAAAAACAAACAAAAAACTCAGTTTGAGTTTTCAAACTACTATGAAACTAAACTGAAAATCCAAACTCTGATACTTTTTGAATCTTGATATGACATCACAAATACAGAAAATTCCACAGCATGAAAACTTCATTTATGCACAAAATTGTTACAAATATTGTATAAAATTAGCTTCAGGGGTCCTGGGCACAAGTGCATGCCTGGCAAGGACAAGGTCCTGAGTTTAATCCCCAGTATCGCAAAAAAAAATAAAGAAATAAAAATAAATGGTTTAAAAAGATCATATGATAATGTTGGGGTTGGGGAGATAGCTCAGCAGTCTAAGCACCTGCCTGGTAAGTGCAAGGAGCCAGGTTTAATCCCTGGTACCACATGCCCTGCAGGCTTTGGAATCCCCGCTGTGCCAAGTGAGACGCTGTACCCAATAAATAAATTAAAATATTAAAAAATTACTTTGAGGTTATACATATAAGGTATATATGAAACAAATGAATTTGTGTTTAGATTTGGTCAGACCTCCTTAGGTGTGTAAATATTTCAAATCTGGAATCTAAAACACTTATTTGGTTGCAAGCATTTCAGATAAAGAAATTTAACCTGTATTACATTCTTGGTAGGCCCAGCAAGATCCATCTTTGGGTTTTCCACTCTTCACCTCTGATTCAATCCCTTTGTTCTTTTACCCTCAATAGGAAGCCACCACAAGCTTTATTTTTCCTCCTGTGCTTATATTTATAGGTCAGCAGGTCACACGAGCTTACCCAGGGTTTTCCAAGTTATAACCCCCAAAACAGATGCATAGAAACCATCTCAGAAACTGGCTCAAATAGCAGATTCCTGTGACTCTGGCCAGGCTGCCTGGGTCACAGTTCCTGGGCGCCTTCAGAGAAGGCCGAGGAGTTGGAAACTCAAGCCCTGGCTGTGAGCAGGACGGGTTAGTGCCCCAGACGCCAGGATTTCCATGGAGATTCACTTTGAAAGTGGAATTCTGTTGCAACATGGCATGAAAACAAGTGCTTTAATAGAAGACCTTCTACACAGACTGGGAGGCCGAGTAAAGTTCAAAGAAGAGCCTCGGCTGGCTCAAATATCAAAGTTAATTAGGACCAAAAAAAAAAATTAAATAAATAAAAGTACTTTTTGACAAAGTCCAGTGGGCAGGGGCGGGCAGGTGCCTGCAGCTCTCCCCGGGCTCTTGCCTCCTCGGTTTTCCCAAACTCTTCATCACAGAGCCATTTCTACTCTGCACCCAGCCATCAGCCTTATCTTGGGATGGTTTTCAAATGACAAAGGGATGCCTTTTGCCCAATGCTTCAATCAAACAAATGTAGCAGAAAGTTCCTGGGCTGCCACCCTGTGGCTGAACAAGCCCCATTCAGCAGTGTCCTGAGGTGCAGATGCCAGTGTGGCCGCTGCTCCAGGTGTCTCCATGGGGTGCTGGCTTGGTGCGTGTGGTGGGACCCCCTTCATCACCTATGAGGAGAGGAGAGGACCGAGTAGGGGCCCTGGCTTTCCAGTCACAGGCACTGGGAGGGGACAGTCATCGAGAAGGACATCAGCGTGGTTTCCCCCAAGTTCATCCTATGGCTTAACCCTGGCTAACAAAGTAGCAGCCACGTGTGGTGCATCGGGACTGTTTTAAGGAACACATCTGAAAGCTTCCTAATTAACAAACCTCTTGGCTCTTGGAAAGAGACATCCTAAAATGCTAAAGATGTATAATTAGTTCATCTCCTGAAATATTTGATTAGCCAGGCTCCCTGACTTCTATCACTAGAATACTCTTTGAAATTCTTCCTAGAAAGGGGCAAGCATGGCCTAGTTTCGAGCACAGAAGAGGTCACCTTCTCCTCTTCCTCCTCCTCCTCCTCCTCCTCCTCCTCCTCCTCCTCCTCCTCCTCCTCCTCCTCCTCCTCCTCCTCCTCCTCCTCCTCCTCCAGATTTATTTATCTATTTATTTATGTATTTGATACAGGGTCTTACTACGCAACTCAGATTCATAATGATCCTCCTGTCTCAGCCTCCCCAGTGCTCAGATTACAGGTGTGCACCACCATGACTGATTTCCGGCTGGTACAGTGCACCTGGGGTTCCAGGGCCAGCCTAGCATGCGGTACGGGGGATTTAACCTGGGTTCTCGCGCTTGCCAGGAGACAGGCTCTGAGCTGTCTCCCGAGCCCTAGAGGCCTTCTTGTAACTGAAAGGAAAGAGGTAATCTGGTGTACTTCTGTGGCTGCCTTGCGTTGGGGCTCATATGGGAAGGGCCCTCAGAGCCCCATGTGCTCACAGGCAGGGCTTCCGGAAGAGGCGATGAGGGTGACACCGCTGGCTCGCGGTCAGGGTGTGGCTGGTCTTCCCGTCCCTCGGGAATGGCCTGGGAGGGTCTGCTGCACCCCCCTCTGCCCTATCTCAGCTTCTCAGCCCACTGAAGTGCACAGCTCTCCCCTGCTGTGCCCTTCTGTCCAGCCACCTCTGTCCTGGAGCTGCACTATAACCTTGAGCCAAAAGAACTCGCTGTGGAAGCTGCAGGTGTCTGGTGTTGCGTCTCGGCAACAAGAAAGCCCCTCAGACTCGTGAGCGTGTGCAAGCTGACTTCATAACAAGGCAAATCCGGCCCAAACTTCGAGCACCTCCCGGCACATGGGATGAGTACCTCGCACATTCACTCCTGCCTCACTCCTGTCTGGTTGTACTTCTTAGGACTCCGAATTCCTTCCTGTGGCTGCCAACTGCGCTGCCTTCTGGTCTCCTGCCAAGTCAGTGTCCCCGTCTGTGCGTGGGCAGATCCCGCTTTTGTGCTTGCTGGCTGCTGACCCTGCTCCCGGCTCTCTGGATGGTGACAGTTCCCTCCTTTGGCTCGCATTTCTGCTCGCAAGCTCCCTCCACAGACGGCGCGACCTACAGCAGCCTCTTCTTCCGCCCCAGCAACTGTATTAGCTTATCTGTGCCGCTGTTACTTGCCTCTTCCCCGTCCCCCAAAAGTGAGCCCCTAGGAGACCAAGACCTTTTCAGTCCTCTGCACTTCTGCAGTCTCAGCACCTAGATTAACCCCTGGCAATAGTAGATGCTCAATAAATTGCTGCTGTGTGACAAAAGTGGCTATGGAGGCTTGAGCACAGAAATACACTGTTGGACCAAAAAACTCCTTGCCTTCCAGGCACTGATGTTCTCATCTCTGAGTTCCTGCAGCTTTCACCTCATGACAGTCACAGGCCTCCATAAGGACAGAAGACAAACTGCTGGATCCTTAACTATCACCCCCCTCCAAAAAACAAAACAAAACAAAAAACCCAAAAACTATTACCCATTGAAAGCATGAAGGGTGTGAGTGTGTGTGTGTGTGTGTGTGGGGGGTGTTCCTCAGGCATACAGGGCCTTAATTTTTCTTTCCTAAACATTGTGACTCACTTGGGTCTATAGATGCTAATAGATAACTAAAAATAGAGCAAAGCTGACCTTATTTTGTAACATCAAATCCTTCCCAACCTGGGTGTAGGAATGTTAGTCATTTCGAGAATGCTTGTCTCAAAGTTGGTGAAAAAGCCTTTATTAGGCCTAACTTACTTAGTCTGACTCCTCCCTCCTCGAGAGCCAGGCCACCAACATAACATAATTATAGGGTCATTCATTTACACCAGGACATCCTCATTACCCTAAATCTAGGGTCACCTTGGATTCCAACTGAGTCTGCCCCAAGCAGAGTCAGGAGGACATGATGAGTCATGAGGGCTCCTCCGGAGCTACAAGCTCAGGGCAGAGGTGCTGGCTGTCAGGACCCAGCCGGCCACAGTGCCCCAGAAGCCTGGCCTCTGCTCTTTCATGGGTGGGCATCTGATCCACGTCAGTGGACCTGCTTCCGTTTCTCAAAAGTGAAACCCTTCCCCTATTTTTTGTTACTTTTCTTTGCAAGGGGACTGGATTCATGTTTGTCAGAGCTGTGTACCCATTTTCTCTTTTCTGCTTAAAGCTTTCCTTGTAACTTGTGCTAAGTGCCTTGAGTTTAATTTCTTCACCACTGACATGAAGATCCACGATAGCCGCTGACACTATCAGAATACTAGTTACACTTTTGCTTTCATTTCTCTCCTAATTAAAAATCTCTAGGAACACACACGATCATAGGGTGCCATGTACATTTGGGGGCTGTCCCAGAACAACTCTTAGAAGGACGCCCTCCCCATATTGAGGCCAGGGTAAGTGGCCCCATTTGATAAAGGAATGGGCCACCACAGTCCCAGGCACGCTGGCGGGACCAGCAGGTTACTCACCGAAAGACCACACATCGGATTTGCTGCTGTAGCGACTGAAGGAGAACACTTCCGGGGACGCCCACTTCACAGGGAACTTGGTGCCCGTGGAGCTGGTGTACTGATCATCGAGGACAAACCTGGGGACGGCGGGAAGGAGAAGGTCAGGCCATCCGGGGCCCCAGTGCCATCGCTGAGCCCTCGGACACCACATTCCCGTGTTACCTTGTCATTCCAAAGTCGGAAACCTTGATGACGTGGTTTTCTCCCACCAAGCAGTTCCGTGCAGCCTGGACAGGAGATAACAGAGAAAGGCAGACTGAGGGCGGATGTCAGTGACAGAGGCACAGGGCCTCCGCTCTGCTGTGCGTAGCTGCGCAAGGGCACCCAGGGGCGGCAAGAGTGCCCGCTGAGCTTCTCAGCGCCTGCTGAGCGTGCAGAATGGAATGGGAATGTGTGAGGTTCTCTATTGGCAGGATAAGTTTATCTGGGTTCCTGGATCCTAACTAGATGTTAGACCCAGGTGTTGTCTAATCAGGGCTCCGCTTGAACACAGCCTGATGCGACAGAAAGGCTGACACCACAGGCAGCAGGAAGAAATCGGTTCCCATTAGATTCATGCAGACTATTTTGAGGTGGTTCAACCTCTTAGATTACTCCTGCATAGGGAGTACCTGGCCCCTAATTAGCACACAGAGGCTGTATTAGCAGGCCCTTAGGAGATAAAAGTCTCCAGTGGAAGGAGTAGTTGCTGGGTCTGTTTGGGAAGAACGCAAACCAAGACTCAGACAGTAAGTTAGAGGACGGGTGGGGTGAGAATGCAGGTGTGAGCGCTCAGGGAACATTCTCGTGCCAGCTCCTCCTGAGGTAGGTGGGAAGGAGGCAGCTGGAGGGCAGGACAGGCAGGGTGCACTTGGGGCTTTGCCAGCTAATCCTCAGTCCTGGTGGTTCTCTGCTTCCGTGGGGGGAGCCCCTTCCTCCTCCACCAGCAGGGCACACCCGTACCAGATCTCTGTGGATGACACATGCTTTTTCCAGGTAGGCCATGCCCTCGCACACGTCCAGGCACATGCCCAGCAGGGTCTCTGCTGCAAAGAGCCCCCGCTGGTTGCGCAGGTAATCTGACAGGCAGCCATGCTCCATGAACTCAAACACTAGGCAGATGGGGGCCTGCTCCAGACACACACCGTACAGCTGGACCAGCTTGGGGTGAGAGAGCTTCCTGGAGGAAAAAGACACAGGTGAGATGGGCCAAGCTCTGCCTTTTAAAAGAGCCCAATATTTTATAGCACTAAGCAGCTGAGTGGCACTTTGTCCAAGTCATAGTTTTGAGAACAGAAAATGCAAACAATGTTACTGAGCCAAGACGTGAAGAGGGCAGGAAATCAGCTAGTTTGCAAGATAAACAGGCAGCGTGGCTGGCAGGTCACAGACCAGAGGAGAGACGAATAGAAGAAGAGGCTGGGAGGTGGGCAGGGCCAACCACAGCAGGCCTTCGAAACCAGGGTGAGGAGGCTCATTGCTCTCCCTGCGGCAGGAGCTGTGTTGGGATTTGGGTAGGTTGGGGGTCCTCTGTGACATTAGGGTAATACATGAAGGATGCAGCAGCATGCCCCGCCCCAGGGCTCTGCAGAGCCTTGTCGTGGCCACTCACATCATGACTTCAGCCTCCTCTATGAAGTCCTCTTCAGACATAGCGCCCTCCTGGATGGTTTTGATAGCCACCTTGTCCTTGTTGAGCCAGTAGCCAAGGTGTACCAAGCCAAACTGCCCACTGCCAATCTCCTGCACGAAAGTGAGCTCTGAGGGATGGATGACCCATTTCCCTGGAGGAGAGAGCAAAGTGTTTCAGAGCACGTAAATAATAAGTTACAGAGGTACCAGAAAAATGACAGAATCATCTCTAGAATTTTAGCCCAGAGTTACTGCAACTCAAAGATGGCAAATGGTGTAAATCCTAAACATGGAACTATCACACGTGACTCTTTTCCCACAAAACAGCAACATGTAATATGGATTTAAAATCATTAGATATGTGTGTATGTGGAGGTAACATGGAAAGGAGCAGGTTGATGTGAACCAAGATACAAAAGAAACTAAATGAAAAGATTATTGCAAGGTCCCAATCATTTTCTGTATGTGATTATAAATTTTTGTTCTTTTTTTTTTCTTCCTTGGAACCAGGGATTAAACTCAGGCCCTTGTGCTTGCCAGGCCAACGGTGTTCTTATTTTTCATATAGAGCAAATTTCATTTGAGTTTGTCATTCACTCATTCATTCATTCATTCACCCACACATCCATTCATCTATCCATCCATTCATTCACCCATCCATCTACTGGGACCATCCACTAAATATACAGAGCTTTTCTAGGTTTAGCAGGAGCATTGGCTGGCAAGGTAGATTCAGACTGTACAGAGGCACAAGCTAGGGCACACAGGGCCTAGCACACGGCTGGTTCTCAATGAGTATTTGATAAACAAATGAAGGGACATGAGCTCAACGTTACCAGTGAGAGCACGAGGGGCCTGCTGGTCTCTGAGGTCTCAACCAGGAGGGGTGCTTGAGGACTCTGTAGTGACTCTTACTTTTATAAGGATAATACAGACACACTATCCTTTCCTGGTGTTTGACTTAATACTAAAAATAGCCAGACTTCTCTCTTTGGGGCAGACCCTTAAGATCAAACTGTCTGGAGTAGCTGCCCTGCACCCGACATGCTGCTGGCTAGGGAGGAAATGCTTCCCTCTGACCCCTGGGTCAAAATCACCCAGGGCAGCCTCCATATTCAAGGTGCATAAACCGGGAAAGTGCTGTGCAGGGTCCTCGAGTCGACACTGTCAATCAGTGTTCCAAACAGGGTTGATGCGCTCTGAAGTTTAAGAACCATCGGCCTATGATAGATGAAGAGGTACATGGTGCGTGTGTAAGGGACGTAAACTCAAACGCCTCTAGGTGCCAGGCAGATAATTCCAAATGAGTGAACAGTTCCACAGGACCAGAGGACACAGGAAGCTCCATTTCACTGGAGACACGCACTCTGCCAAAGGCATTTTAAATTTTGTAGTCTTTTGCTTACTAGGAATCAAACCCACGCTCTCTAACACAGATCAACATCCCTAATTCTCAAAATCTTTTAATGCTCGGCTATGCAAACATTTCTGGATGCTGCTAGCTCGTAGCCTTTGCAAAATGCCCAACAACAAACTAGATATTTAAAAACTTCCAAAAAATACAGCGAAACACAGTGCTAAGGCATTGCTGTCCAACAGAGCCCCAAAAGTGTTCATAGAGAGCTTTGTTTTTTTTTTTAAAAAGTATTTAATAAACATTGTAATGACAAATTCAGCCTTAAAACCAAAGGATACTGATTTAGTCTATGTGCTCTTACAAACATTTCACACACACTGAAAATATTCGTCGGTGCCGCCAAAGCTGTATCTATAGCATACCTGCGTTAATCATCATTTGAGGTCTGCGCAGTTCAGCTCATGGCAAGTCCACATAGAATTTGCCCCTCACTTTAGTGTTTTTCGTTGTATTGCTTACCGTATCTTAGCCCTGCAGTTACCGGGGCTTTCTGCCGCCAGGAACAAACTGGATACCGGAGTCGAGTGACCAGGCCTAGGGTTGACGGAAAAGACCAAGACAGTGGTTAGGGCTGGGCTGGAGCGACTGTCCAGAGAAAATTTACTGGGGGTGGGGTGGGATGGGGATCTGATGTAAAAGCTGCTTTTATTCTGGAAAACAAATGCCCAAGTCTCTTTACTGACGTCACACGCTCCTTGGCAAGCTTGTAGGCATAGGCAAGGAGGCAGTGAAAGCCCTTTCCATAGCACAGTTGCCCGTGGAAGATGGAGACAGCATCAGGCATCTGGCATTCTCTTCTGTTTGTGGGTCTAGGTATTATTTATGGCCAGCTGGTCTGGCCTGAAGGTGCCACTTGGGGCTTTTGTGTTTTCTCTCTACATCCCTGCAAGGGCCCCCCTTTGGCTTTGCCATTTAGAGCTCACCTCCTCCATTGTGCTGGTGATAATTGATGAGGAGGGGGATGGAGTCAAACACGTACTTCTCGGCCACATAGTATCGCTTGGGGTTGTCATTCGTTTCTTTGATGTGATAATGCTTTATACAGGGGCTGTTCTCACTTCAAAAAAATGAAACACAGTGATTGCGAAGAAAAAGATTGAAACATAAAGCATCTACTGCAGTCAGGTTTGTATTGTCTTGTTCTGTGGCCTCCCACAGCATGGTGGACACACAGGCATCTGGCCCAGCTGCTCGCTGGTCCATCCCTGTGGTGTCCAGAAGTACTCTGAGGCTGGGGCCACACCTGGTGGCACTGCAGCTGTGAGTGGGTGACATACTGTACACAGCCACAGGGCGGGGGAATGGCGCTGTACTACCTGTGGATTTAGCTACTTGTCTGCAGTCTGTTGGTGAATCCCGGCTGGGCCCTTCACACTCACTGGACTGTGAGCAGAAGAGCTGGCATGGTAGGCTGACGCCCATACCTGGGAAGGACTGCTTCCATGGTCAGCTCTGGGCTGGTATTGGTGCTGGGAACAGGGATTTCGGGGAGGCTGTCACCATTCCTGATATGGGCTGTGATGGAATGGTGTTGCTGGGGCTCGTGCTGAACCTGCGCTTTCCTTGTGTGAGTTTAGGGTTTGGGGAGGCGCTAGGCAGAGGCTATGTACTTTAGCCAGTCTCCAGTAAAAGCCCTGGCAGGGAATCTCTGCGGAGTCCCCTTGTGGACAGCACTTCAAGTGTGTTGTCACAACACTTGGCTGAAGGAACCAGTGTGACTCTGCTGCGATAGGTATCTTAGAAGCTTGCCTTTGGTTTTCTATGAACTTGGCCCCATGTATCTCTTCCCTTTGCTGATTTTTCTTTGTACCCCTTTGCTGAAATAATCTTAATGAATGTTATTCCGTGAGCGGGATCATCCCCATGGCTTACTAGAAGTGCAGGTGATTTGGGGGACCCCCAACCCAGAACTGAACTCTTACTCTGCCTCCATCATGTCTTACAGGTTTCAAGTCACTCTCCTCTCTATCCCCTGGCTATGACAGAGTCTCAACCCCTGTGACATCCACTGTGCTCTCTCCCTCCCAGAGATAGTGGCCTTGCTCCTCACCACCTGTCTAAATCCTGCCCTTCCTCCAGGTCCTGCTTATGTCCTCTGCCTTCTGACAAACATGCCCTAAGGACACCTCAAAATTATTTTTTTTTCCTCTTTTGTCTTACTGCATTTTGGACTTGCCAAATTGTTTCATTACTGTTAATGAGCTTCCAAAGCTAGACGGGCTCCTAGACACCATTTTACAGGAAGAAAGTGATGCCATGGGTGGGGGTCATACGATGTGCCAGGCTGGAGTACCGACGGGCATGGCCACTCTGGCTACACTGGCTCTGGGAGGTGCCAGCAGCTCTTTGGCTCCTGAGCTCCTGATTTCTTCCATGAGAGCTGAGTGGGGTGATACCTGCTGCCCGGGATCTCAGGACTGGAAATTGTGAAGTTCCTCACACATAGTAAATGATCATTAGTGTTATTAGTAGAGCCAATTACTATATATTTTCACTTCTAGCTAGAAGTATCATTTGATTCCTTTACGCACTGAATGAAATGTTCTCATCAAATGGAGGGCCGAATGCTTTGTTCCCCTAGGGCTCTGCTATCAGGCAGACCAGTGGAGAAAAGGACCTGCCTGGCTTCCAGCATCTCTTTCGAAGTAGCTTCAGTTCTGTCCTGAAGCTCTGTGGCCCTGACCTTCTCAGACCACACTGTTTCTGGCAAGCCTCTACCTTCTGCACTGTTTGACTCTGCTGTGTGTCCCCCACCTCAGTAGTCTCCCTCTTTACTTTGCTGAGCCAGTACCATACCTGACAATAGCCTTGGTGAAAACAGAGACAGTGTATGTTCCTGGAGTCCTAGAATCTCGGACCATGAAGGCTCCTTCTTTGCCCTGTGTTGGTTGGAAAGAAAGGTAGGTTAGTGATGTCCCATGCACCGCGTTCCAGGTTTTTCTTGTGGAGGGGGAAGTACTGCTTGGCATAGAAGAGATACTCAGCAACAGTGGCCCCCATTTCAGTCACGCATTCCACAGCTGTTCCTTGGGATCCTGTGTGTGGCAAGTCCCAGGGCTCACACTAGTCGTGAGTGAAGACAGACAGACATAAGTGCTGTCCTCTTAGCACCATCATGAGCTGAACTTTGCAGATATTTCCTGAAACAGTACAGCCAGACATTCTTGTCATCCATTTCTGAGGAGGACACCAAGAGCTTAAGTGGATTTTACACCAGCTGACACTAGTAAGAGGCAGAGCTGGGATCTGAACTTGAGCACCTGAGCGAAGCCCATGACCGTGCTATTACTCCACGATGCCTCCATTCCACAGACTTGGAAACCACTTCTCCATTCCCTACAGGGGCCCAACACTTCCTTTCCTGGAAGCATCCTGTGTTCCTTAATGGAGATATTTTTTCACACCCTTTCTAGAGTGATTTTATTGCAGGGGAAGAGGAAAAGCATTAAACTCCTGGCATTCATTGCAAGGGAGATGGCAGAAGGGAGTGCCCCGAGCATGTACCAATCAGAGCCCTGAAAGTGTTGCCGGCTCTGACAAGATATGCATAAGCAAATGGATATGCCACCTTATTCATTCCTGGTGGGAACCAAAAGATCGGAGCTCTCTGTTAAGTTCTTCATGCATAACGTTCTGTTCCTAACCAGCTGTAAGTCCACCCTAGTAATGTTCGTAACACCTATTACATAATGTAGACATCATGAGAGCCCTATGTGAAGTTTCGAGTTAGATAGGAGTCTCATGAGCTGGGCAAGCTGGATACCATGTAGAACAGCACAAACCCATCTACGTTCTGATCCCCAAAGTGGGTGTACGCAGTCATGAGCTGGGCAAGCTAGATACCATGTAGAACAGCACAAATCCATCTACATTCTGATCCCCAAAGTGGGTATGCGCAGGCATGCACACACGTAGAAAGTCATGGTAATTGCTGGAAACATAGACCATGGCCTTTAAAAGAACCTTCTAACGATGATCTACCCCAGGCTTCCCCCACCTCGGTCTAGAGGTTCTTTGCCCCCGGGGGTGGGGTCATCCTGCACACTCTAGGTAGTTCGCAGCATCCCTAGCCTCTACTTTCTCCACACCCAGTGTCCTGTAGAAAACAAAACTCACTCCTGGCTCAGAACCACTGATCTGATCCAGCCCCCTAAGCCCACAGGTCCCAAATATTTCATTTGCACAATCATCTGAAGAATAAAAAACAAAATGAGACAATGTCACAGAACACGCTCTTCATGTCATGTCTAGGCACAAGGATCTTCAGCATGGCGACAACCCCGGTTCTTGGACATGTTGAAAACTTGCCATGTAAGTTCATGGATTTCTGGGTTTGGTAGCTGCCGACTTAACAAAAACCCGCCTTCGAAACCGCACAGTCAGTCGTCTCGGTCTCTTCCAACCGAAGGTTAGAAAGCTCGCCCTCTGGGGACACGCTTGCTTCCTGTACCTAGGCCATGACGCTGCAGGGCGGAAGCGGCAGCTGCCTTGCACTCCGTCATCACTGAATCACCGAAGCTTCGGGTCTGAGTACTGAACAGTGAAATCCGGTCCTCCCCTGAGCTCTATTGGACACTTCCGGAGAAGTTCTGATGTCATCTCTGCTCCGCAGCTGCAGTCTTCCTTTTCCAGGCAGAGAGCTCAGGGGAGAGCGCACAGCGGGAGTGCGCAGCTTCGCGAGTGTGGAGCAGGGAGAACCCAGCAAAACACGGAAGCTACTACACACCCTCCTCTAAGATGACCCGAAAGAGCGCGTTCACTTTGTCTTTTGCACACATCAAAGCCACTTAAGTATTTTACATACAATGTGTTTTTAAATTCAAGAGACTGAGTTATAAATCTTTGGAAAATACTAATGCGATCTTTTGAATACTGCCCATCTTCTTGCGGATTTATCATCCATAGGAGCTAGCTGTGTGCAGGCTCTCGGGCACAGTAAAGATTTTTTTCCTGTTCCAGATATGAATGTTAACTGTTTAGTCAAAAAAAAATATTAAAGACCACTTTAATTTTTGCTTATACATCATTCTTTTAAAGACTGGTTTTCAAAAATTAGGTTTTATCTCCCCTTTTCATTCAAGTTCTGATCTACAGGGACATCAAAACCCCCAGGCTAGTTTCTCTCTCTCTCTCTCTCTCTCTCTCTCTCTCTCTCTCTCTCTCTTTGTATTTAGGGCAGGGTCTACAGGGTCTCACTGCATAGATTGGACTCGTAGTGATCCTCCTGTTTACAGCCCCCCAAGTGCTGGGATTACAGGTAGGCACCACCATGCCCAGTCTTAGCTGTCTCAACAAGCCCAGGAGTGGGACCAGCACTGGCAGGCCTAGGGATCAAACTCCTGGCCCCTGCATCTGCCTAAGCAGGTGCTTTAATCTGCTGATCTATTTGGCCTGCCCTAGGTTCTCTTTAAAAAAAAAAAAGTCATTTATTTGTTTAGTACAGGGTCTCACTACACAGATAGGACTTGTAGTGATCCTTTTGTTTTCAGTCTCCCAGTGCGGGCGTTACAGGTGTGTGCCACCACGCCCAGACTCCATGGCCTTCTCAGGAGCCAGACAGGGCCAGTGTGGCATGTAGTGCTGGTGATCGGGTCCCTATCCCTGTGATTGTCTAAGCAGGCCTTTAGTCTGCTGAGCTACCTTGCCAGCCTTCTGTTTTGGTTCTATTCTTTTTAAAAATAGTTTTTTTGGAACTGGAGAGATAGCTCAGTGGCATAAGCACCTGACTAGCAAGCAAGTGAAAGGTCCTAAGTTCGATCTCAGACACCAAAAGCCTTTGAAGCACATGCTACATACAAGAAATTCTCCCACTTTGTGTCTATAGTTCAATGATTAGTAAATTTTCAGAGTTGTGTGGCCATCACTGTAATCTAACTGTAGAACACGTCCACGGCCCCAAAGAAATCTGTCCCATTTGCACCCCGCCATACTAACGCGCATGTTAGATTAACATGCCAACATTAACGTGGCTCAATAGGTCTGCTCATTCTCAGCATTTTGTATAAACAGTGCTGCAGAATATATGGTCTCCTGCAGTGGACTTCTTTGGCTTAGCTCATGCAAATCATAGCAGAGAGCAGGACTTCACTGCCTTTTATGCAGAATGGCGTTCTGCTGTCTAGATCTACCACACGTTTATCCATTGATCAGCTGATAGACATTAAGTTATCTTCCGATACATGTTGTAGCTACTGGGGGTGGCATTTGGTGACAGCACCAGGACACTCTTGTTTGAACTGAGGCAGCCAAGGCTCTAATAAAAGTGTAGCACATACACCTTCCTGCCTACTTCCTTCAAGGGGTTCAGGGTCAGTGACAGCACCAAGCCACCGGGACCTCAGGGGTCAGCACTCCTATCCTGCTACACAAGGGGGCACCTGTGCATGCAGCCACAGGAGACCACCACTCCCTCGGAACACACCAAGGTTTCGCTTTAGCTTTTGCTACTTTATCCAGCAAAATAAAGATAAATATCCACGGGCAAAAGTAATGCAAAGGAGGTGACATGTCGTCCCTGGTGAGACAGAAAAGTAGAAAGCAATTCAATATGCTTCCTTATTAATACTGACTTCATTAACTGGTGTGCATGTGTGTGCCTGTGCCTGCGCATGTCTGAAAAAGCAGCCCTTCCAGTCCAGACTATGCCAGGGACCTGCTTTCTGAACTTAGTCCCCACTTATCTGCCCTTAGCATAAAGGATGTGGACTAGATGCTTTTAATGGGAAGTTTACCTCTAACATTTTGAATTCCAGATGGTTCCTGAACAAATATATGGACATCAGTTTCCTCATCTGTAAAATGACCTTTGTAAGGCTGCTGGGAAAATTAAGTAGAGTGCATAGGACAGTTCTTGGAATATAATCCCCAAATGAGGATGATTAGGATTGCTATTAGCCACTGTCATCGCATGCTGTGGCATATCATCTGTTGGAGCAAGAGCCCCATTATCTGTCTTCACCTGAGGCATGCGGGCTGTGTGAGGAATATACATTTTTTCTTTCTATCTATACAAATTGAACATGACCTTATGGAAAATATTCTCCACAAAGGGTAAATTGTGGTGAGAGGATGGATTGGTGATTGTGGCCCGGTCCAACTGCGACATGCAGTGCGCTTCTAGAGCATCTCTGCTTTCACTCTGAGGTGCATCTTTTCTCATCTTGAAACACACTGCTGATTAGTCAACAGCGCATTTCTGATGACATCATGGAAACACAGGAATATGATCAACCGTTGCTTTAGATAAGGCTCCGGTCTGAGGTGTGGGTCACTTGGTGTGTGAGCTGCTGAAAGCGTACGAAGTGACTTACTGACTGTGTAAGTAAGTCACTGGGAGCAATGTCTCTCTCCACTTAGATGGAATTCAGTCAAGAGAGAGAGTCGGAGCAGCCATGGCAGAGTAAGAATGGAGCTACTGGAGAGGCAACAGCACTGCACCAAGAGGTTCTAAGGCGAAGAAACACCACCTTAGGATGAAGGTCTAGAAAGGTGTGGGAGCTTCTGGCAGAGGCGACATTGACAGGAAACAAGCCCACAGGACGAACGATGTCTTAGCTTCTACTGAGTGGGAGAGCAGGGACCGGAACCCACTGCAACCTCAGTTTACCATGTGTTATGTTGTCCTGTGTCCCTCTCCTTTCCTGCTGGTATCCCTGGGTAAGCTCAGCTTTGCTGTTCATACTGCATGGCTTTAGAGGAAGGATGACTGATAAAAAGTAAGTGGAAGCAAGTGCTATCTTTCCTCTGGACACATAGTGCAATCCTGCAGAATCTGATTCTGGAGCTAGCAGAGAAGTGAGCAAGCCAGAAGAGCCTAGATGGCTCCCAGAACCAAGACCCCTGCAGCCTTGACGCTATTATCATGGCCTGCAGCCCTCTCTAGGTTTCTTCTCTAATGGTTGCTGGCCCAGAAACCTTCAAGAATACTTGTCTCCTGACATCAAAACTGTTGTTAATCTCACATGTCAACCACTGCATTGGCATAAACCACAGCATGGCCAAAAGACAGCCAGCATTTATTTTAAATAAACAGAAGATGAAGGAAACTTACAGAGTCCAAAAGAAGTTTTTCAGCTTTGTCTCGACTGATGCTCTTATTATACCACCTGAAAGCAGCAAAAGTCATGTGTCAATGGTATTTTTAAAATTTCAGTTAAAAACAATGCCAGAGAAATCATCTATTCATTTTCCATTTCTATCAACGGTTTCTAACTCAAAAGCAAAGTCACAGTCCATTTCTAGGTGGTAAAGTGTTCACTTGGACAGGCACCAAATAAAACAGATTTAACAAAATATTGATAATTGTTGAAGTGGGTTTTGGGAGCACTGATCATATTATTTTCTGTTTTTGTATAAGCTGGAGATTTTTCCATGATAGAGATTTACAAAACATGTAGCTTCCGCTCTATTTCATAAGACAGTGGGTGGTTGTAAGTAGAAAAGTGTTAGCACAGCTATAAACAGTTAATACCAGTTTGAAAGTTTAGCAAATATCCCTTTGAAACAACTGCCATGCTTTCTCTTTAAGGCTGGCCTTCCAGATCTTTTGCAAAGTTAACTGCATTATATTTATAATTTTGTTAACTGATGAACATAACTAAAAGTTCATCTTGTTCTATCCCTGCCCCACCCTTACGATGCCCAAGGTATTTCTCCAAGAAATTCTGATTCTTTTCATGGGAAAGTGTTATTTAGGGTGCAAGATGTGAGCAGTACAGGTAAGCATTGCCATGGTGCTGTTGCTGCTTCCGGGTCCCTGCAGACCCTGAGGTAGGCCCTGCGTGTACATGGTAGGTGCTCAGTACTCTACATTCAAATTTCACTAAACCCTCAGTACTTCCATAAAATTGTACCTCTGTGAGCTATCCTCCTAAACGACAGCTTACAAACGATCACTTTCCGGGGTCCAAACAGACATTTCATGTCTACTTCTTTGTATGCTGTCCTAGTATTGGATGTATCACAGTAAACTAAGTTTTATGTATGAGCCAATGTTCATAGATATTTTTTTTTCTCCAAGTAAACCAATATTTCTGGAGTCCCCAATAGAATCTTTTCTTTTTACTATATTCTTCTCCAAGGGCCAGGGAGATAGCTTAGTGGACTAAGTGGCTGCTTAGGCAAGCGCAGGGACTGGAGTTTGATCCCTGGCACCACATGCCGTACTGGTGCTGCCCTTGAGTGTGCTGAGCCGGCCACTGAGACTGGGCATGGTGGTACACACCTGTAATCCCAACATTGGGGAGGCTGGAAAAAACAGGCGGATCACTACGAGTCTGAGCTGCATAGTGAGACCCTGTATCAAATACTATATATATATATATATATATATATATATATATATAATCTTCTCAGGTACTTGAGAATCATTCTTTTGATGAAAGGAGAGGACAGTATAGCCAATCTCCCCATCTACTTTTACTGTTTAGTGGGTCAGACAATATCACAGAAGAAAGCACATTAAGCAAAGAAACCATGTGGTACTTTAGTCAACCACAACTTTCTCGACCAAGGGAGGATTCCTTAGTACTATATATTTATTCTTAAAAAACAAAGCATCTTACTCATAGGTTTCCAGGTTATTTGGAGATTTCTCTACCAGATAACTGCTTGGTACATATCCTTCATGCCTGTGAAAAAGAAAATCAATGTTTAGACTAATATGGAACCGATGTGTAGATCTTCAGTTTGTGGGTTTAATCCACCAGAAGTCAGGTTCAGATGAAGAAGGCTCAGATTCTTTGGCATTTGTGATAAAATGTATTTGAAAGTTTCAGAGTAGAAAAATGAGCAGAAGTTAAAGCTTGTCATCTTTAAAAAGCAGGATTTTACTCCTAAAATGTAATAAGTAACAAATGCCCATTTTACTTTAAAAGCTCTGCTTGCTGCCTCTCCTCATTGTGAAATTTCCTCTACTGGAAAAAAATTTATATTCAGATTCTATTTTTTAAAATGAAACTTTTGTGTTGTGATGTTCAGTTGTTTTTTCCACTTGGGTGCCACCAGCGTTTAGTCAGGAAACCAAAATAATGACAGATGCAACTGTCCATCTAAAGGTCCTGGAAGACGCCCTGCCTGGCACTGTGTACTCTGTAATTCAAGGACTCTTTACCTGAACATCTTCAGCTACATAAACAGAAGGGGAAAAATAAAGTCAGCTAGTATTTGCAGGCATGGAGGCAATTTTGGTGGGGAATTAATATTTGTACATAAAAAATAAACAGAAATTGATAATAATATAAATACTTTTTACATTTATGAGTGGCTTTACAGTTTTCCAACACATTCATATTCATTCTCTGTGATAGCAGAGTCCCTTCCATTTTCTGGCCGTCTGGCCCTTACCTAGAAATCAGTGTCCTAAACCATTTCCATGATAGGCATTGCTAATCAATCATGGCATGATTTCTTGGAGGATTGAACATCTAGGTTCAGCATCATCCTAAACAGTACTCACGGCTAATTGATGGGAATCAGCTTGTGAAACTTACCAAGCTCTCTCTCTCTCTCTCTCTCTCTCTCTCTCTCTCTCTCTCTCTCTTTGAATTTCTCTTAGTTTTTTCTCTCTTTTTGGCTATACCATATGCTTACAATTGTATTAACAGAGCAAACAATATTTTGTTATTGAATACAATAAACTGGGTTTGATATGCCAACCTAAATTGGGTTATTTACACAAATGATAACCCTTACCAGTTGTGTGTGGATATATAGAATTTACAAAGCCCTTTCATTTCCGTCTTTTCACTGATTTGTTTTCAATGCTGTGAGACAGAAAGAACAGATATCATCTGCATTTTACAGATAAGGAAATGGTTTCCCAGAAGGTCAGCTACTTGACCACAGTCATATATGAGAGGAGTCCTGATGAGAAAATCTGAGTCTTGTTTCTCCCCCACTCGTGTGCCTTCCCATAGCCACACTATTACAAAGCACACCCAGGAAGTTCCTGGACAGGCGGGCCCCTGAGGGCTCCTCCTTCCTGCCCTTTGAAGCACAGATGGAGTCTCTCTCCAGTCCTATGAAGAAAGGGTGAACTATCACTGGGGGAAGAGCAGCCTAGAAGAGTCCCTGGCACAGTGGTGCTCCTAAATGCCAGGTGATTGAGCCGATATATTTCTAAGTCTTTGGTGTGTGTAGACTGGGGAGGGGGGGCTTGAACCTTAAACGCCCCAACTAATCAGCTGGAAAGGGAAGTTCCAGGAGAGAGCGAGCGAGCGAGCGAGCGAGCGAGAGACAGACAGACAGACAGACAGACAGACAGACAGACAGACAGATCCTCCCCTGTCAGGCCAATCATATTTTACCCCTCTTGCCTATCCTGCCCCCTTTTCTACTTAAAGAGAAGGTATCTCAAGATTGTAAATTTTAGTGGATTTTAAAAGTCAAGCTTTAATCTTAAAAATATTTATGTGCCTCTTTTTTCTAATTCATCAGATTTCTCTCTCCCTCTCCCTCCCCTCGCCCCTCCATCCTTCCTTCCTTCCTCCCATTATCTGATAAAAGAGTTGTCATAGCTCTAATCTCTGGGGGCAATGTAAATTAGGCAAGCTTTTTGAGGAAATTATTATCAAGGTGAACCATCACATACTCTGACTTAATAACTTAAAATGTTGATAATGTATTCGGGAAATTGCCGCGCTCTATGGACAATGCGCCCTCGCTATTGTTACCCGTTTGAAACAACAAGAAAAACCCGATAAATTTGAACTATAAATGTCTTATCACAAAAAACTTAAAATTTTTGTATTTGGACCATATAGTCTAACACTTAAAAAGAGGTGGGTATGTGTGTTGATACGCAAAGATGACCAAGAGATAGCATTGGATGTTGAGAGGCAAAGGACGGCTACATGATCGCAACGCGAATGTGCAAAGCACGCTCGCATCAGTACACATTTCTTGTCTCGGATACACAAGGAAGGACTGATAGAATTGAGGTAGAAAGCACAGGGAGAGCAGCTTTTTTCCTTTTTTAATCTTTACCTACAATCTTTTCTCTTTCCCTCCTTCCTTCCTTTCTTTGTTTTTCTTTAGTGCTGGGACTCCAACTACACGCCAGGCAAGCATTTTGCCACTGAGCTACACTCCAAACCTCCATTTTTTTTTTCTTTTGCATTACTTTTTTCAAATAAAATAGCGACACAGGCAAAGTCAGAATTCTTTTTCTTTTTCCATATTTTTAAATTAATGATAATCTTATGCTTTAAAATATTAAACTTTATTTTCTCCGTAAATCACCTGGATGGCTAGTTCAATGGTTGTCCTCCTAAGTAAATCTTTGCTATGATCTGATACCTCCTAATATAATCACCGAGCCGTGCCTTCTCTACCTATCTTTTCTTTCCACCAAAAATAAGCACTTCGCAATGGGGTGCCCATCAGTGGCACCTTAATACTAGGGAACAACCGTGGTAGGCAGAGCAAGTTCCAAGCTCTCAAGCTGCACATGTCAGTGGAAAAACCCAGGGGATTTTTTAGATGAGTTTAGGGCTGTAGCACTGACATGGGTACAGAGGCAAGCAGAGTGAGCGGTTGCCCCTGGCCCCTTCTGGGAAGAGGAAGAATCTGTTCTCTGCCCCTCCTCCTCTCGCCCCTGTGTGGCTGCCCTGCTCAGTGCTGTGGGCAGGGTGGGCACACAGAGGAGGGTGCGCGGGACTGCTGCGGTGCTGTCTTTGATTTCTCATGCTGGGCAGCAACTGTGAGGATGCCTTACCCATTCTTGTCTTGAACTCTCCACCAGTGAATCTCAGAACTGTCCAGCAGGTAGTACTCTTCATTGCGCTGCAGGGCCAACTCCTGAGGATCGCGGGTTTGGTAGTCATACAAGGCAATCACCAGGACCTCTTCTGGTTCCTGAAGTGATCGCTGGGGAAGGGAAAACAAAGCTGAGCAAAGACATCAAAATAAGGTGAAGTGCAACGCTAGGTCAGCAGATTCCTGAGGCGTGAATTCCGCTGCATCTCGCCAGGCCAACCGACCGGCTCCTACCATCCAAGCGGCATCTACAGACATAATCTGCTTTCCTCTGTCAGCCCTTCTTTTATGAGATAGAATTGTGCTGCTGAATAGGATGTGAGGACAGCAGCAGCATCTGATTCTTTTTCGTGACGCAAATCTCAACCACAGTGGGTGCCACGCAGCCAGCGTGCTTTCTCTGTCCACACCGTGTCCTGCTCTGCAGCCTCTCTACCAGAGCACCACACTTCTGGCAGGAGGTGTGCTCAGCACCAAGTCACCAGGCCATGCCCGGCTGAGCTGACCTGTGGGGCTGTTGGAGCTGAAACCCTCCAAGGGATCATTTAATTTTCTCTGTCACTTAGGATGGGGAAACAGGCTCAGATGGAGAAAGGGACATGGCCGATTAAGAGCAGTCATTCTTTTTTTTTTTTTTTTTTTCTTAGCTACTCAGATTTGGGTATTTATTTATTTATTTTTAATTTTTTTTTTTTGCTTTTTCTTTTTTCTTTTTTTTCTATAATTTTATTGATAAATAGCAATGAGACAGTTTGAAATCAAATTGGTAGGACAGTTTCAATAATTAACACATTGCATACACTCTTCCTAGTGGTTAATTGCTGTACAAGATGCAGACATGATATCTTATTTACAAACACCATTAGAACAAATCACTCTATTCTTTAAGAGAATGTAACTATATATCTATCCTAACCACTTTGAATACACAGATATAAAATGGACATTCATTTGTATCCCCTTTTTCTGTTAAGTTCCGTTATTTGAATATTATAGGTGTGTAAACTCAGCAAAACATTCTAAAGAGTCCAGTAGCCCATAATAGTATTGGGTCTTCTGCTTGACTGGCAGTGTCAGAAATTGTTGACCTGAGTCCCCTACAGCTCAACATAACACCATGGCTTTACTTTATATACTTCGTTTTTATACTTTTCTGCTGGATGGTTAAGACCAAGGTAAAGCAAGACCTATGCAACAAGAGTTGTAGCTTTTGGGTCTGAGAAGGTCAGTGAAATGCCCTCAGGATTTATCCTGAGATCCTGTACCTCAGATTGTAGATCCTTTGTCAGTGTCAGCCATGTGGATGAGTCACGGCCATTGCTTGGCCAATGTGCTCTCTGTGAAAGCCTGAGAGAATGTTTTCTCTCCATGTGACTCTCCTTAGGCACACTCTACATCATTGATCACTTTCCTCTTTGGCCCCATAATCTCCTTGATCAGAAAATTTGGAACACTACTGAGGTACCTGACGTTACAGTACAAGTTCTCATATGTCCTGAGTCTTAATTGACCTTAGAAGGCTAGGGCCAAAATGTTGGCTTTCCTTTCAGGAGGGCAGTCATTCTTAATGCTTCCTTTGGAGCTGGTACACAGGCTCCCTCCCTTCTCTTGCACCCTCTCTGACCTACACCTTTGTCTTGCAGTACCTTTCTTAGGACGAGCAATTGGGAATGTGAAGACAGCATGAGAAGCAAATTGCCAGAGTTCAGGATGAACACACTGGTGGCACACTGCCAGACTCAGGGACAGAATAAGTAAGGAGAAAGACCGAGTTACTGGTGAGGAAATGACAGGGTCAGAAGTCAGCAGCTCTCTAAGTACAATGAAGCATTTGGTGGGATAACAACACCTGAGCTCTCGGTTGCAAGGGTTTTATCTTACTGAGGGAGAAGGTCCCCAGCTTGGAATCAGATGGTACGGAAGCAGCTCATGAGGTGGTGGTGTACGGATGGCCACAGGCAAGCTCAGAGGGACTGCAGGCTTTTGCTTAGGCACGAGTGAGATGAGGAATAGTGCTCAAGGGCACCCAAAGGAGACACGGGAAGGAAATGGAATGACGCTACAGCAGGTCTAGCTCACTGGTTAATCCCTAGGAGGAAAAAGATCAGAATCTCAGCTGATGGGTTACCTGTCCATAGAGACATGGGGGAGACTAGTGGCCTGTGACAAGTTGCATGTGTGGTTTACAATGTGGTAGGCAAGGGCCACTGCAGAACACTGTAGAGGTCCCACATCCTGTACAACTTTTGAATGTCACCTTAGAAACCTACTTATGATTATAACATGTACGAAGACCAGAAGCCTGGGCCCTACCGCTAGCTGACACAGAGTGCTAGGTGTCCCAGGAATGCACAGAGGCGAGCTTCCACCTAACTTAAATCAGAACTTGACCAAGAGTGGTTCACTGTGACGGAAACTCACATCACAGGCAGTGGTGACATTGTGTTGGAGTCACCGATAAAACTTTTCTGTGTCAGTTGCACTGAGTTGCCAAATTCAATGGGAATCTGCTTCTAGGTGTAAGCAATTGGTTACTTCATTATATTCTTTGGGACAACCATATCTTAATATTTATCTGCAGAAACACATGCTGTATAAATTCTCCCCTGTGCTTAATTTTTACAGCTAGAGCATGTACTGTTTCTTTTAAAAATACGTGTTTATAAAAGCTGAATTTTTTATGGCTTCCTTTTCAGGATAATAAAAGGAGCTTTACAAAATATTTGTCATAAAAGGGAGCAGCTGGGTCTGATATGGTTGAGGACCTCTGGATTAAAGTGACAAAATCAAAACTGGCATCTGCACCAACAGGAGCTCTGTGGGCTCCATAAGGGCTGAGCGAGGCCTGAGGGTTTGGCTGGTGTAAGGCTCTGTGGCCTCTCTGTGCAGACCTCAGAGCTCCTTCCTGCCCCCAGGGCTCCCCTGACCCCCACTGGGACAGTGTGGTTGGGCCAAGGTACCCTCACAGCAAACCCAGGGTGCAGGAGCAGGCAAGGGTATCTCCAAGGAAGCCTGGGGAAGGACAGGGCAGCCGCATCCTGAGGGGCTTCTGGGAAGCTCTTCTAGGTAACTGGGAGGGCCCTGAGAGGAGCTCAAGGAGGGGCCAAGAGGGACTGGAATTTGGGCTTTGCTGTGGAGCAAGCCAGAGAGGCCTGCGGTTGTCAGTTACTCCCACAGTGTATAGTCTCCATTTGAACCAAAACCAACCTCTGTCTCCCTGTGGGGGACTGACCATCTCTCATACATTCTCAAATGGAGCATGAGGCCTAAAAATACAGCTTTCTCTGTGTGCCAGCCTCAGATGTCATGGCCCAAGTGACAAAGAAGGTGGAGAGAGAAGTGGCTTCTAGGGCTCAGGGTCAGAGAGACCCTGCAGTGGCTTTAGACACTTGCTTGAAATTAGAGCCTCATCACAAGCCTGAGGGCAGGATGTCCCAAGGAGTATGGCTTCTCCACCAAGAAGTCAAAATGACGGAGTCCAAGGAGCAGCAGACTTCCCCTTCTTTGGTACAGAAAGGAGCAGGAGCAGATGACCTAGGAGGAGGTGGGCGTTTGGGTGGGACTGCAAGGGGTGTCTGCCCAGGAGGGTGGCGGCCTCTCCAGGCCATCAGGTCTTGAGAAGGAAAGGAAAGAGAGCTCATCTCCTGCTGCATGTGAGTGCTCCTCTTAGGTTGGGAGCGAGTGGGCTGGTGACAGATCCAAAACCCAGCTGAGCTTTGGAGGATTTAGAGCTTCGCTTATGGGGAAGCTGCCAGCTTTGAAATGTCACCACGTTGGCTGCTGGAGGAAAAAAAAAACGAGAGAAAGAAATGGGAAAAAAATAGCAGAGCTCATTCCTCAGGAAGAAACATGAGTAAGCAGCACCGGTGGGTTCTGGAGTAGAGGGTGGTACTTGAATATGGGCTGCTTGGTGTGGCTGGGACCACCACCTAAAGGCCTATTCCCCTGGGCCACTGTTCGGCTTTAACAGAATACACTTCCCCTGAGCGGGTGGTGTTGCATGTGGGTCTTATAAATCAGACATTAAAGCCCAGCAGCTCTCAGATCTGGGTGGACCTCAGAATTGCCCAGAGGCCTATTCAAGTCCAGCATAGAGGGGGAGGGCCCTTCTGCAGGGTTCTGGGTGCAGCAGGTGAGGCAGCCGCAGAGAGCATGCATGCCTGCCCCTGCTCTGTGGGCCTTGCTGAGGAAGCTCCAGGGGAATGTCACAGAGGAAGCTCCAGGTCTTGCTGAGTGGGCGGGGCCTCGGGACAGCCTGGGGCCTCTCCTGGAGCTTCCTCTGCCCAAACTTTAAAAATGTTGAGCAGTAGGGGACTCAGGTCAGCAACTTCTGGCACTGCCAGCCAAGTGGAAGACCCAGTTCTCTTATGGACTACTGGACTCTTTTGGAATATTTTGCTGAGTTAACACACCTATAATATTTAAATGATGGAACTAAACAAAAAAAGGGGGATATTGATGAATGACCATTTTGTATGTGTGTATTCAAAATAATTAGGATAGATATATAGTTACATTCTCTTAATGAATAGAGGGATTTGTTCTAATAGTGTTTGTAAATAGGATATCATGTCTGCATC